TGTTTACTGGACGATTCGGAGTATTGTGGTTGCTGCATCACAACTACTGGGGATCACTGGCATGGGCCCCGAGTAAGTGGTTCATATTCAGAGTCTGACAATATTTTTCTATTAATTCTTTTTATTTGCCAAAAGACAGTGATAAATTCATTGTGTTCCACTTTTATTTGGCTTCTATAAGGTATCTGACAGAGGCATGGGAACTATCATCCTTGGCGCATAAGCTCGAAAACATACACAGCCACCTCCAGGAGAACCTCGACAGATTATATGAAATCATCAGTGAGTCTAATTAATTTTTATATTAGAGGTAGCTTGTCCTATTTGTTTATTCATGCCTAACTAGAAGATATTTTTAATGGTGTGATGCAGAGAGGAAGAAAGATGATGAAGCCTTGGCTGCCATTGCATACATCTTAGAAACACCACACATTGATAACGTCAAGCCTCTGAGGGTCTTGTTTTACAAGGATGATCTGCCAGCACTCTATGATTGCTACAACAAGAAGAGGGTTCGCTCTGAAACCTCACTTCTCTTCTATCCGCACAATATATATAATCAACTAGAATTGGTCAACCAAGATCATTTTCAATATCATCAGGTCAACTAAACCTTAATTAGACAAAAAAAAATTTAAGAAGGAAGTACAAGTTTGGATCATGACTTCAAGTTACTAATAGTCACATTTGGCAGAAAATTCATGTCAAATTAAGTCCTGGTTTCAATAATGTTGTGCTCCCAATTAATTAACCAACCTCCTTATGCCCCCATGAATGCATGAAACAGGTGGATATTGATGTCTTGAAGAGGAAGACTGTGATCCTGTTCATTTCAGACATTGACGTCGTCAATGAAAACGAGTATATGATTGTCCACAATATGTACATGGAAAAACGGCAAAGCCCAGCAAGGCCAGAGAGCCAGTACGAGGTTGTGTGGGTTCCAATTGTGGACACGTGGACTGATGCCAAGTACCAGCACTTTGAGGAGCTTAGGAGAAACATGGAATGGTACACAGTGTTCCACCCTTCAGTGGTCTCTCCAACTGTGATCAGGTACATCAGGAAGAAGGACAAATGGAACTTTCAAAAGAAGCCTCTGCTTGTGGTAATGGACCCGCAAGGCAAAATAGTGCACACCAACGCTGTTCACATGATGTGTATTTGGGGAAGCATAGCCTTCCCTTTCACCAGCAGCAAAGAGAAATTGCTCTGGGAGGAAGAGACCTGGAGGATTGAACTTTTGGCTGACTCCATCGATCAAAATCTCATTAACTGGGTACGTTCTATTGTTATATATGTATACGTTGTCAAACTGTCAATCTGAATAGCGCGTTTAAGCAAAATCATATATTCTGACCATGAAATAGTCCATGTGAGACTGTTTTTGTCAAGAGGACTAATTTTTCGGATGATGAATTTCAGATTGCAGAGGGGAAGTACATTTGCTTGTATGGTGGGGAAGATATGGAATGGATCAGGAATTTCACAAGGGCAGCAAAAAAAGTGGCTGCGGAATCTGGGATCCAGTTGGAGTTGCTGTATGTGGGGAAGAGCAAACCAAAGGAGAAAGTGGTGAAGAACATCATGACCGCCATTCAATTTGAGAAGCTAAGCCACACCCTCGAGTGGAACCTCATCTGGTTCTTTTGGGTACGTCTAGAGAGCATGTGGCAGTCTAGGGGACAACAGCTTCAGACAGAGGCTCTGAGATCAGGTCGTCTTACCGACAGCTTGAAAAGCGACGCGGTGATGCAGGGGATCATATCAATGCTCAGCTTCGGCTCGAGTGACCGTGGATGGGCTGTCATTGGGACAGGCTCAGCTGGCATGTCCAAGGCCAATGGGGAGCACATGTTCAAAAGCTTGAATGAGTTTAACTTGTGGAATCGAAGGGTGAATGAGATAGGCTTTGTGCCTGCATTGAATGAGTACTTGGATGGGGTGTATAAACAAGCACCACATCACTGCACCAATCTCATACTGCCCGCTACCGGGCTCATGCCTGAGACCGTGGCCTGCGCTGAATGTGGCCGGCTCATGGAGAGGTTCACCATGTTCCGCTGCTGCACTGACTGATCTACATGAGCTTGTTGCATTGCACCAGACCACCAGAGTGATTTTTATGATATATTGAGGAGTTCCATTATGGAGTTTCTACTACTTGTGTATGATAATAAACGTGACATCTAAATTAAGGTGGTGCTTTAGCTAGGTGCCGCCTAGTGTGTGTTTTCTTATGATGCCATCTTATTGAAATCAATAAATTTCAAGTATTCCTTCTTAATTTGCTTTCATTTTACTTCTCTATATATGTTATTACTTTTCATGGTCACATTGCATGTCAAGATCAATATATACAGAGAAGTAGAGGAAGGGGAGAAAAAAGAAGGGAGATTCACTATTATACCCAATATAGGAGCCCAAATTATAAATAAAAAAAACTATATATGAAATGGACTTTAGAAACACACCCAAAGCCCATTCACAACATAATAAAAAGGTTTTTAACTTCTTTTAAATTACAAAACTGACATTGATTTCTTAAAATAAACTCAACCCCAAAACCTTATAAAAAAGCTCAAAACACTCAATAGGGCATCAAAGTAATTTAATAATCAAAATTAAATTCAATATGTACAGCTGTCATTTTTTGGGTTTTTTTTTGGCATGTTTATAAAAATTAAATGGTGTAGAATTTATTTATAGTTTTAGTACTAAGAATGGGTATATGACTAAATATCTCAATTTGTTTGATTTAGAGAATTAACAGAGATATTATCTTGATTATTTAATTTGCTGTCCTATTTGCCTTGCAAAGAAGCCAATGACATTGACAAACAAAACGCAGAACCTACAAAATGTCTGATTCTAGATTAAAATGAGACACTCCACTGGCTCATCTATTCTTGTTTTATGTTCAAAAATTATAAAAAGTTTCACTTTACAACTTATAAGTAGGGCATCAATCCAACCGAACTAATTAAACTGGCTGATTCAAACTGTAATTATCGGTTTGGTTTGGTTTTGACTAAGAAAAATTTAAGCGGTTTAAAATTCGAATTAAACCGTATATTGGTTGGTTTTGTTTGATTTTAAATTTTTTAAACCGACTTAAACTGGACCGGACCGTCTACTTATATATTTATTTATTTATATTTTATTTTTCACGTGCAGTCCTCTAATTAGATAATAATTAGACCCTCTATTTATATATTTATGTATTTATATTTTCTTTTACACTTGTAGTCCTATAATTAGATTATATATATATATGTGTGTGTGTGTGTGTGTGTGAATGTTGAATTTGAAGTTAGATGGACCTTTATAGTTGTTGATATTTAAAATTGTAGCTATATTAGTGATTGAAATTTGAAGTTTTATGGCATGTTGAGTTTTAGGATGGTTTGATACGCTATCAAATGAAAAAAGTATGTAAAGTTGTGATATTTTTCTAGTTGTAATTGGGTTAATAATGTTGAAAAATGCAAAAGGAAAGATAATTGAGCTTGGGCCCAAACCGGCCAAACCAAACCATTTTAAATATATTGGTTTGGCTGGTTTGATTTTCTTCATAATTTTTGTCAAAATCAAACCGAACCAAACTGTTATATTATAATTAGTTCAGTCGCGATTTGAAGGTGAAATCGATCCAATCCAGACCATACCCACTCCTACTTATAAGTACTTCAAATTATCCGGCTCATGATTTTAATAGAACCTGAATAAACTGAAGTAAATGAATGGAGTAAAATTTTGGTCAATGATTTATAATATAAAAAATTGACTATCAAGAAAAAGAAAATTTGATAAATGCATAAGGAAAAAGGAGTCTCAACACAAATCGAAACAAAAGGAACATGCAGGCTTATACCATTACGCACAACAGCAGAGAGAGACTGTTGCCAAATGTCAATTTTAGTTCATTACTTTAGGGTTTTTTTTTTTTTTTTCGGGACTTACTCTCACAGTTTGATATTAGGATTGTTCATTCCGTCTCAAAAGTTCTCAACTAATTATCCTTTGATGAATTGTATCTTTCAATTCGGTTTTGGCTGATTATAGCGGACAAGTTTCCAGCTTAATCATTGCCATTTCAAAATTAAATTAGTGTAATTTAACGAGTTTAGTGATCGAGCATTTTTGCTCACCACTTTAACCCAATGTGTATATACAAAATAAAAAGTTACCTATGGACACATATTAAGTATAATAACAATACACCTTAAGTTAAAATGATGAGCAAAAATATTTCCATCAATGATATTGTAATATGTAATTCTTGACCCTATTTCTTTGGCTGAAGTTTTGTTTAGGGGGAATTATTTGGCTAAATCCGATATACAAACTTTTGCAAGAAAAATTCTCAGCAGAAAACTATATGGAGCCTTACCATGAGAAAAATCTGACCAAAACGGGAAATGCCGAATGAGGCCCAAATTGAGGGTCTAAACAAAGAGAGTGGATATTCAAGATCTCGTTTCAGCTCAGAAGTAGAAGAAGGTCCAAAATGAGGCCCAACTATCTAAATAAAGAAGGAACAAAACAACAACGTTCAAGAATCCTAGGAGGACAGCATGCATAGTAAAAGGAAAAACAGAAAGAAAAAAAACCATTCAATGATGTAGCTTGAGGCAAACTCTTCAATGTAAACCGTAACTGTGAACAAAACATGTGTCTCACGACTGGCTGCAGCAAACAAAAAATATTCCTGGAGTAAGAATATCTGGACTCGAGTTTCGTAAAGGTGAAAAAATATTTTGAATGGCGACAAGAGCCGGAGCCCCTTATCCGAAGATCAGTATCTATATATTCTCTCCACTGATATAGGCTAGCAACCCACTTTATGATTTAAACCCCAACGCAAGCAAGGTAGCAGCTTTTTATCTGGTAACATGCATCAACTATATAAGGACTAGCTGGCTACACCTAAACCCAAACCATTTCTCCTCTTCTACCAATTTTCCCTCTCAGAGAAGCTTAGAGCCTTCCCTTTGCAAATGGCCCTTGTACCTCAGAGTAAGTTCACTGCAGTAAGCAGAGGAGACAACCGTGCTCGTGCTCCGGCTCCCAGAGATGGCCGTCGTCAGTTTTCGTCAACATCAGATGACAATGCTTTGGTGAACCAAATTCTGCTCACTGATAAGTCTCATGACCGTCCCTACGAGGTGTCTTCTCTTGCAGTCAAGAACATTCTCCAAACCATTGAGGCCATTCTGTCTCGTGTAATGAAACCTGACACCCATGGCGCCATTGTGCTGCCGGTACGTCCATGCCTAATTGTAATTTTGTGTCATTTCACTTGATTGCTCTTCAACCTCTGTTGATTAATTATATGTACGAAGAATATGCAGCTTAGCTGGATGACAATTCAGTTTATTTACATGTTGTTCATCTCTTGTATTGTGTTGACCTCGTTTGTGTATTATAATTAGGGAACACTGGTACCGGCAGCTACACACGCGGATGCTTTGGAACATGAGAAGACCCTCCATGCTAGCCTCAGCACCCTTAGTGAAAGCTTCGATGTTCCAAACCACGTGTTTAATGCAATTTCTTGCGAGGTAAGTGAGATTCAGATTGATAGTTTCACAGCATAACATAACCCATGTGCATATAAATTTTGTTGATTGATGTATTGGGAGACAGATATTATGCAAGTCGCTGGCTGGGGAAGATGCAAACAAGACAACCATGGATATACTAAACATTGTGCAAAACTATGATTGGGATGAAAAGGTGGTGCTTGCCTTGGGAGCTTTTGCTGTGAAAGATGGTGAATTTTGGCTTGTGGCTCAGCTCTACACCTCCAACCCACTGGCCAAAGCTGTTGGACAGCTTAAGCAATTGCAAGAGATATTGGAACGTGCTGGGACAATCTTGAAGCCTAAATTTGACGGCTACAACAATCTGGTTAAGGCCGTGCTCAAAGTGACAAGGAGCATTATTCAATTACAAGAGCTTCAGAATGATCCCCACTTGACCCCCGAAATCAAATCCGCAGCTTCCACCGCTCATATCCCCACTGCTGTTTACTGGACAATTCGGAGTATCGTAGTTGCTGCATCCCAACTTTTGGGGATCACAGGCTCCGACCCAGAGTAAGTTGTTTTATAATCTGCTACAATCTTGTCCAGAATGAAACTGTTTGTACCTTCTCAACTGACCACATGGTGTATCAGATACGTAACAGAGGCATGGGAACTATCATCTTTGGCGCATAAGCTCGAAAACATATTCAACCACCTCCAGGAGAATCTCAACAAACTAAACCAAATCATCCGTGAGTCTTACCCTAAAAACAAAACAGAGTACATGGCTTGTCCTGTATATGTGTTTGTGGCTAACTAGATATCAATGGTATGTGATGCAGAGAAGATCAAAGACGAGGATGCTTTCAATGCAATTGCACGCATTCTAGAATCACCACACATTGACAACAGCAAGCCTCTAAGGGTTTTGTTTTACAAGGATGACCAGCCTGCTCTTTATGACGGCCTCAACAAGAAGAGGGTTTGCTTTAAAATCTATCTTTCTCTTCTCATTTAGAAGCCACCAAATTTGCAATGTCTGTACCCCAATTCATTTTAAAAAATTGAAACAGGTTGACATTGATGTGCTCAAGAGGAAGGTAGTGATTCTGTTCATCAGTGACCTAGACGTTGTCCAAGGGAACGAGTACATGATTGTCCAAAACATGTACATTGAAAAACGGCAGAACCTGGGAAGGCCAGAGAGCCAGTTCGAGATTGTGTGGGTTCCAATCACGGATGAGTGGACTGCAGCCAAGTACCAGCAATTTGAGAACCTCAGAAATAATATGGAATGGTACAGTGTGTTCCACCCTTCGGTGGTGTCTCCTATTGTGGTCCGGTACATCAGGGACCAGAGGAAATGGAACTTTGTGAAGAAGCCTCTGCTAGTTGTCATGGACCCTCAAGGCAAAATAGTGCACCAGAATGCTATTCACATGATGTGTATTTGGGGAAGCCTAGCCTACCCTTTCACAAGCACCAAAGAGAGATTGCTCTGGGACGAAGAGAACTGGAGGATTGAGCTTTTGGCAGATAACTTACATCCTAATATATTTACTTGGGTACAAATACTCATCAATCATATGCATATCTAAAACTGTTACTTGTAATTTGGTCAGCTAACATTACAAAAAAAATTTGGTATCTGTTTCAGATCACAGAGAGGAAGTACGTTTGCTTGTACGGTGGAGAGGACATAGAGTGGATCAGGAACTTCACAAGGGCTGCAAAAAGTGTGGCTCTTGAAGCAGGGATTCCATTGGAATTGCTTTACGTGGGGAGGAGCAAGCCTAAGGAGAAAGTGGCGAAGCAGATCCTGAGCATCATCCAAGCTGAGAATCTAAGCCACGCTCTTGAGTGGAACACCACCATTTGGTACTTCTGGGTTCGTCTCGAGAGCATGTGGCAATCCAAAGGACAACTTCTGAGCGAGCAATCAACAACCCATTTCAAGACAGACAATTTGAAAAATGATCCTATAATGCAGGG